GTTTTTGGTTTCGTACACATAGGAATTAGGATTAGTAGTATATCAAAATTTGCTTCATTTTATTTACTTTTTTAATAATTGGAGTAAACCCAATGTAGTATCTGCTCGAAGATAACTTTCGACTTTTTAACATTGAACGTTCATACTCCTTACATCTATAGTATTCGAACTTGGATCCTCAAGAATAATAACAATTCATTTACCTCGAAAATCACTTGGTTCGGACTCATTTTAAGATGAATAAAAAGTTTATTTTAAAGCCCGTAACTGAACTCCATTTAATAAGCAATGGTGCAATTCAAGTAAAGTTTCACTATATACATAAAGACTCACATTATTTAAATGATATCAAACTATTTACCACCTTAATATCTCGTAATCAAACTTCATTTCATAAGAAACGGCGCAATCCGAGCAGATCTTCGCTGTGGTTTCCTTTAAAGCCTACACCAAAATTCAAATATACCTTTCATCATTTTAGTTTTTGTTATCTGGCGTGAGTTTCTAGGTTTACAATGTTTTTAAACAGTCCCTGCATGCAAGCCACATCTTCCTGATGGCTTGAAGACGCATTACATGTTATATAAATCAAATATGATATCAATGTCGTGTCTCAATTCTTTATCCTTACAGAAAATAATTTAATGATTTCTAAAATCTTACTTCTAAGTACTAAATTAAAAAAAAAATGGGTGACTCTGCAGGTTTATTGAAAATACATGGTTTTACATGGTTTGTTAAGATCCACTGATCTTACGAGCTTACAACCAGCAAGTAAAGAGTCTCGCTTCATCATATACTCAAGTACCAACACATACGTAGAAACATATTTTAAAATACGTACAAACTACGTTCTCGATATAGAGTGAGATATATCGAAGCATGTGGAGGAGGTTATGTTGTTGCGAGGCTTTGAAGCAGGGCGTGTCTGCGGCCGCTGGGAGGAAGCTACCACCGTCACCGCGAAACCGGGTGTTGTTAGAGGGAGTGACATTGCGAACCAATCTAGTGTTCCAGGGGACAAAAGCTTGGTCGTCTTCTCCACCTTCTGATGTCGATGTAACATCCGATTTGAAAAAGACGAGAGCAGGAACGGACAGCGTAACGCTGGCGGAGGCGAAGAAGCTGGTAAATGTGGAATCACTCAAGACCATGCTAGAGTCGGAAGGCAAAGAGGTGATCGGCTACTCGGAGTTAATCAAGGCCTGCGAGAGCCGGCGTTACCAAGAATCTCGACGAGGCCATCAGTTTTGCACGCGTTCTCGATTAGGCTGGCGTCATGCTTCTTTTCCTCGACAAGGTTTATCTTCATCCGGACAAGGTACGCATCCCTCTTCTAACCCTTCACTCTATCGTGTTAATAATTTAACGCATTTTACTCTTACACAGGTGGTGGATCTGATTAGAAGAGCAGTCCCTCTTGCATTTGCTCCTGAAGACGACCCCATAAGAGACGAGCTAAAGAAGTTGTAGGAGAAGGAAGAAATCGACGCGCTGGCACATAAGCAAGTCCAGTGCATCCTTTGGTGTGGTCTGGGATTATTTGTTGCACAAGTCAGCCTGTACTTCCGGCTGACAATCTGGGAATTCTCGTGGGATGTAATGGAACCGATTTCGTCACCACGGCCACCGGCATTATCATAGGCTATGCTTACTTTTTGCTCACTGCAAGAGATCCCTCGTACCAGGATCTGTTGAAGAGGCTTTTCCTGCGGAGGCAAAGAAAAATATTCCAGAAGCATGGGTTTGACGTCGCCAGGTTTAAGGAGCTGCAAAACAAGTGCAGAACACCTTCCGATGCCTCCACTTCCATCCGGAATCGAGTAGGCTTGGACGTTGAACTTGATGACGCCTTACACAAGGATTAGGGTTAATCGGCCACCACTTCCTTAAATAAACTTATATAGACTCGCTAATTCTCGAATAAATCATTTGGTCTCACATTGTTATAGAATAAGATATTATTTGAATAAGGACCAAATCGGATAAAACTATTCTATGAGAACTTCTTACTAAATTTTGCATGCTTGTCAATGATAAGTGCATATAAGTTTTTTTTTTTTTTGTAAAGTATAAAAATGGTCCCCGACTATAGAATATTATTTTATCAAATCCCTTGACTATTAGAAGTTAAAAAATGGTCACCTGATTATTTACTATGTTCAAAACACATCCTTTTTTGTTAAAAAAATAATGGTATTTTGAGTTGAACGTTAATTTGTTGACTGTGATATGATAAAATGTGATCCCAAAATACCAAACGATTATCATATCTCATTCATCATGTTAACATCCAACTCAAACGAGTTTGGAACATAATGAATAGTCGATTGACCATTTTATAACTTTTAATCGTCAAGGAACTAAAAAAAGGCAACATGTTATGGTCGGAAGATCATTTTATAACTTTCAATAGAAAGTGACTTAATAAAGTAATACACTATAGTCGGGGACTAAACCGTTTTTTTTATAATAATTTCTACATAAGTGGAGGGGAATTTTGATTCTAATGGGTACTGAACCTTCAACCTAGAGGAGAGGAGAGGAGAGAAGAGAAGAGATGTCAACTGAGAGTTTTCGTTCATTTACTTTAGAGATTGTTGATCGTGCATATAAGTTATTAAATCGACTTATAGACCCAAAACTAATTATAACAATATTTTATTCCATCTTAAGATCATTCTTGATTATAGTAAAGTTTTTATATTATCAAAATGTATGTAATGATATTTACCATAAAATAATAAATATAATTAAGACAAAGGAGACAGAGAAGCAACAAAATTTATTGATCTTTCACTTGGGAAGATGAAACGAGTTACCAGTCATGTTTGGACCCAGATGTACCGGTCCTAAATCGTTTCCCTCTCATATGACAACAAGCTATGATTTGGCTCGCGCTAAACCTACGTTTCACGTGGTGCTAAACAGCTTAATTGTGGACCATATTCATATTATCCTCTTGATTTAAGGTTTTCTTTATTGTGGCCAGAAAATTAAGGGCCCAGCTTCTCTTCACATTTCTTTCTGGGTTAAATACATTTTTGGCCCCAAAGTTGTCTACTTTTATTATTTTGATGCGAATTGTACGAACTGAATATAAAAACAATACTCATTTTTACTATTAGGGGGCGTTTGGATGTGGGAATGTGGGATTTCCGCGAGAATGTGGAATTCCCATGGGAATGAAATCCATATTCTCCCGTTTGGTTAGCCCGAGAATCTCATTCCCGGTAATGTAAGATTACCGATAGTAGATTTTTTGGGGTATATTACCAGGAATGTCATTACCTCTCTTTCCTTAGGTATTGTTGGATTACCGGCGTTTTGGACTAAAATGCCCTTAATTTTTTTTATTTAAAAAATATCATTCTTCTGTCATTGAATAATAAAAATTCTACGAAGGTTAAATTACAAATTTATCCTTAAACTATTTTAGATTTACAAAAAAGTCTATAATTAAAATTTTATATGAAGTTCAGGGGTTAAAATACAATTTTACCCTTTCATTAAACCTTTTTATTTTTAATTTTGTAAAAAAATTATATAACTTTTATAAATTTAAATTTTCTTAAAGAAAATATATAATATTTTTCAACTTGTTAAAAAAATAAATATATAATAAGAACAATTTGGTCAAATATACATTTCAATAATATTTATTCTTTTAACCAAACACGGTAATCTTACATTACTGCTAAGCCAACCAAATATAAAATACAACATTCTCAGTATAGCACGTGGAAATTTTGTGGGGGTGGACGGGCATTGGCTAATAAATCCAGAGGTTTAGCAGAGCAGGCAGGAACATGTTTGGTAACCACCACACACACACACAGATAAAGCAAACTGCCAGAAAGAGCGTGGGCAGTTCATAGCCTAGGCTCGATCATCAGCTAAATAATAATACAAAGAAACCAAACCCACATGCAGGGATGAACCTAAGCAGAGTGAGTGATCGCGGTCGTATTTTTTAAAATTTAAAATTATTATATATTTTATATAAAGCAAAACAACCAAAAATAAAAAGCAATGGTAGTTGAGAATAAATTACCAAAATTATGGACCTTTTAATATTTTAATAGAAAGATATGTCAATATCAGTTTTAATGTTGGTTGTCGATCGTCGGTTTTTTTTTTAATAAGAATAATTCTACTTTTGTTGCATGTTTATCATTGACTTAATGGCAAGTTTATCTATGTATTTGTATCATGTTTTTCGTTTTTTTCTCAGTCGTTTTATTGTTCTTTTATTTATGTTGGATTTGACAACGTCATAACTGATCAAGATGGTGTTTATTTGAAATCTTGTTGATCTTCCTTGCTACGGACATTCGGATTGAATTTGGATATGTATTTTGCGTTCGTGCCCTGATTTGTAGTTCTCGATGGTCTTTCGATAACTTAGTTTCCTTTTGTGGTTCGTTTGCCGATGCAATCAGATTTATTCGTATAAGTTTTTGTTCAAGTCTTTTAATTGAATTTTTAACATTTTCTATTTATAATATTTATATAATCTAAAGTGATTAGTTTCAATGTTATAAAAAAAGTCTAAATTATATATTTAGTTTACAACAATAATCATAAACTTTTATTGTAATTTCAAATATTTTTAATTTTTTAATAATATTAATGGTTTCTATTAAAAGGGTATTTTAATATTAGAACATTTGACTATTTTTTACAAAGATAATGAGAATCATAACACCATTAATGATTTGATAATTCAATGGTACATAATCAATTCAAAATGTTTGGTGGGAAAATTTAATTTTTATATAATTCAATGATCAAAATGAAATAATTTATAAACTTTAACAATTAATAATGTAATTCACCCTATTTTTAATGTACGAAGTTGGTAAATATCTTTAATAATAATATAATTTATAAAATTTGTATGTACACAATCTCGTTAAAACCATACTCCATAAATTTGGGTTCCTTCTATTTTAAGCTAACTGTAATTAAATAAAAATAAATATTATTGTTTCTAATTATATATTAACAAAAGTGGAGAAGCAAAGCAAGCATCATCCACGAGGACGAGGATACTTGAAAGCAAGCTAAATGGTACGCTATAACTTGCTTTTGGCTCTCGTTCGGTAAAAACCAAGTTGAAGATTCTTCTTTTCCTTGTTTTATTCGTTTATTTTCAATCGAAACGAGTAAAATATTTTCGAATTTCCGCGGTTACCCATACGATTTTCTCGCCTTTTTATAATACCCATCATCTCATTGAAGCTCAATCCCTTTATCTCTCTCCGATCTGGACAATTCTCAGAAGAAGAAGAAAGTGTAAAGAAACAGGGCCTTAAAATGCTGTGTACAATGGTGTTGATGCCCCGGAAGAAGAAAGTTGGATCGGTTCCGGTTTACTTGAATGTATACGATTTGACTCCCATTAATGGTTATGCTTACTGGCTTGGCCTTGGGATCTATCATTCTGGGGTTCAAGGTTAGTTTTCTTTTTTCTTTTTTCCTTTTGGGTGTTGCTGGAAAAAAAGTAATGGAAAAATGAAAAGAAAGAAACAGGGGGTTGTTGCAGTATTTTCTGTTTAATTCGTGCTACTTCTGTTTTTCCACGCCTTAAGTTTTGTTTCCATTATCTGGGTAGCCTGTTTGTTTGATGAGAAAATTTTCCAATCAATTTTCCCATGTATCCTTATTAGTTTGATTATTAGTGTAGTAACCAACGAGATTGGAAATTGAAGGGAAGAATTTGAAACTTGTATATGCAAAAGAATTTCCACAGATATTAGCATATACATCCATGAAGCTGATGCAAAGACACGCACACGTATTTCTGTAGAAGTAGATTTTGACTGTGTTGAATCTTGGTATGCAGTTCATGGAGTTGAATATGGTTTTGGAGCGCATGAACGTTCCGCTACTGGAATTTTCGAAGTGGAACCAAAGCAGTGTCCCGGTTTCACATTTAGGAAATCCATTTTGATTGGGAGGACAGATTTAGGTCCGAAAGACGTCCGTTCGTTCATGGAGAAACTTGCTAGAGACTACTCCGGGAACACTTACCATCTCATCACTAAGAACTGCAATCATTTTTGCAATGATGTGTGTATCCAATTGACAGGGAAAACGATTCCGCGCTGGGTTAATCGACTTGCTAGACTCGGTAAGAAATCATCTTCTCACCCTTTTTATCATGGATAATTTGATTGATTGTTTCTTGGGAATATTGGTATATAGCCATGCATATCCAAGGGAAAGTTTTGCTGCGTATTGTTATTGCTCTCGTTAGCATGTTTTCCGATTTTAAAGTTAAATCGAAGAAAAGTTTGCTTTTGAAAAAATTCAGGATAAGGAAGAAGCGGTATCAGCTTCCACCCACCACACTCACTGAGGTAGTGCAAGCTTTGTGGAACGAGCACCATTTATGAACGGTCTATACTGCCCGTCTGAGCCAATAATTCTGTTTATTCTTTCCACAACTACCATAGTCAGCTTGCTGTCTTGTATTGTTATGATTTTAATACTCTCCCGATATTGAAATGTTTGCGGAGTTGTTCGTCACACAGGTTCTTGCGGTGAAGTAAATTTAAAGGTTCTCTCTGTGTAGACTATTGAGTGATGATATCTGTGATGAATGTATAGGTTTGCTTTGCAACTGTGTTCTCCCGGCAGAGTTGAACGAGACGAAGATTCGCCAAGTTAGATCGGAGGGTAAGGTTCAACAGGTAGAGAAGAAGAAGTTGAGAAGCCAATCGAGTAGGATACCTCCTTCATTGACATCTTGTCCTTCTAGCCCTGCAATAAGTAATAGACAGAGGCGATTTCTTCTATCGTCGTCGTTGATTCACACCTCAATGACCCCGAACTTAAGTTTGAAGCTCTAAAGAATAGTCAACAGTAGATAACGTTAACAAATGCAAATCGTTTTTACCCCACTTCTGTTGTTTACTTCGATGGGCATGGGAACCCCTGCTTCGGGAATTCGCAAAGTTTCAATCTTCTGTAATATGCTTTTTGATTTGAATGGAAAAGATCTATGCTTTTCTTACACTCTTGCAGTTTGAAACCATGTTTCGTTAGAACCGTTAGATGTTTGGACTTTGGAGACTTGAGGGAAAGTGTTTGTGTAAGAAATAGGACCCCCATGAAACAGTAGTGGTTGGCTAAGGTTGGATGTGAAGGGTTATGGCCTTATGGGGCTGCCTTGGGGGGCATAGTGGTCCCTTTTATTATCATGACTGGAAAAAAGTTTTCATGTCCGGGCTCTCTTTCTCCATATAAAAAGTTTTCTTGTCTGTAAACCAAACTATTATTGTTCGGATAGTTAAAATTAAGGTTAAATTATATTAGTGGCCATATTATTAGGAGGGAAAAAAATTTAGTCTGACCATTGATATTTTAATTTTAGGCGAAAATGTAATTTTTTTCTTATAGTAGATCTAGTTTATCATTGTTGTTTCTATCGTATTTTTACATCAATTTAATCATTGCAATTTTTCAATTACAACATTTTATACCCTACTTTTAACTTAAAACCTTGAACTATAAACCTTAAATCATAACCTTATAACCTTTAAACAATAAACCATACACCCTAAACTTAATTTAGAGTTTATAATTTAAGATTTTAAGTTAATGATAGGGTATAGAATGATATATTTAAACAACTTTGAGAGCTAAATTGATGTGAAAATAAGATAGAGGCGAAAATAATAAATTAAGTCTACTACGAGACAAAAATAACCTTTAAGCCTTAATTTTATTAATATGATTATCTAATTTTTTAAATGATGTCAACCAAGTCATCCATTATTAATATTTGATGGATTAATAGATGAAGGAACATATATGATAGTTAATAAAATTGACATAATTACACATTTAATCCTTATCATTTACACAATTGATATTCTCCCAAAATTAAATAATCTTGATATTCATCTTAAAACGATACTTTAATTACAGATTTCAACAAAAGTTTCGAGACAAGAGTAATTAGGTTAAAATTTTAGTTCAATTTTTGTCCAATGTTGTGCGTTTTTCTTCCTCAAAATTGATAACCCAAGTCTGGTTTTGTCAAATGATTGGCGCCAAACCCAATATGAAGCATACAAGACAAGTGAACAAAGGTTATTTATACCAACAGGAATTGGTTTAAGTGGTAAGCAGTTTGATTTCGCTTAAGCAAGTCTCGAGTTAAAGTTCTTATGAATGCAGAAGATCTCTCACCTACTAAACTAGGTGTGCAATCAGAATCGATCCGAATACAAGCCTTACGAATTCGGGAAAAAAAGCAAAGGTTCTTTATTGCATTGTTTGAACTTTGATTCCATTTCCTACTTTAATCAGCAACAACTCGTATTATTATTGTTTTCATTTGAATGAGGATAGGTGGACCTAATTCACTGCAAATGACCCCTCCCCCAATAAAAATAATTTAAAACAAACCCTTTAAAAGCAAGAAAGAGGCCAATACCATGCTCCCAATGATTGTTCGTATAATCATACAGATATCGAAAATATTTTAAATCAAGTTAGATTAAAATTCTTGGAATTTTACCGAATTTCTAACACACTTTAAATTCTAAAACAATGTAAATATTGTAAAGATGTGTGGAACCAAAGTCAAGGGTAGGAACTAGGAAGACCGAATCACCCACCAAAACCCAACTTTTAATTATTTCTTTTTTAACAAGTTATGGTTTTAACAAAATGGTGTTAATTATTGGAAGTAATCAATCATAGTAAAGGGAGCAAAATCATAATTTGACCTATATAACATGCCATATTTTATCTATCAGTTAATTAAAGTAGATGTACCAAGTACGAATAAAAGAAACTTTTGTTAAAGGTAAAATTTACAACTACACAGTTCTTTGAGTCTGTCTTAGAGAATTGAAAGAATTAGATGAGTATGAGGAAAATCTTCACTTTCTGCATGCATACACAACGAAAGAGAAGCCAGTGGGAGCAGTTAACTCACTCTCCTCCATGCTTGCCCACTCCATTACCGAAGAGCTGCCACCCGAAGAAGCTGAAGACATCGAAATCGAAGAAGACGATGCGCTTTTAGCAATCCTCCTCAACAAGCTTCTCCTCCTCTTCCCCCATTCAGTTCCGTTAACATTACACCAACTCTGTTGACACAAAACGACACCCTTCTTCTCAGAATCCGTCGCTTCCTCACCCTCCGGCCATCCATGATCGTCTTCAACAATCTCAGAGCCTTCGTTCTCGAACTTGAACACGAAAACCGCATTCCCATTGCTCAAGTCTTTATCGAACAGCCAATTATAAACGTCCCACGAGACTTGTATAGGGACCCCTTCAACTTCAACCCTCTCGCTGCCTCTAAATTTCCATTTAAGCCGCTTAATTTGCAACACCCTTTTGCCATCGACGCTGAAACAAAGCTTCGCTTCACCGTTTACCGGACAATCGATCGAAATCTCCCTCACTTTGCCGCCGAACCTGACTTTTGTATTGTACACTCTGTTTCCAAATACACGCTCTCTTCTCAAAACAAGACCTTGGCTTCTCCTAGACTTTTTAGCTCGAGTTCTGGAATATGCTTCTTTGATAGCATCACCGACAAGAAGCATCATTTCGCCACCAACAACAACGGCAACAAAGAATTCAGATTCGGGCTCAGGCCCGGATCCGAATTTCGCCCGGGAAAGGTCCCAGAAGAGGACCACATTAGGAACTGTTGAACAGCTGAGCTTTGCACAACCATTTTTCTTCCAAAAGGTAAAGGAGTTGAAATTGAGATAGAAATGGAGGATGGGGTTAGAAAGAGAGGGGTGAACTGCGAGAGGAGAATAGGGGGAGTAGTGAGAGGAACCGTGGAGGTGGAGGCAGAGGGAGTGGCCGAGGAAGCTGCGGGACCACGTGAGGGAAAACATGCCAAGCTTTGTGTCGTAGAGACTTGTGGCCGCGATGTTCGTTTTACCCGAGTTCTGCGGCGACTTGTGGTGGTCATCTGCAATGGCAGAAGGACGGAAGCAGGAAGGGAAGGAGGAGGAATGGCGGTAACGTTGAAGGGACATTATTTAATTTGTTTGTTTGTGATTTATCATAAAGGAGTTTTCAGGCTTGTTTTTCCGAGGGCTTGGAAGCTAAATACGGGGATTCGGGAGATGAATACAAGAGACAAAACAAGTAGACTTAAAATTGTCTTTAAAAATATTTTGGATAAATTATAAACATAACCATTTAATTATAAGTATTTTAATCTAATCATCAATCTTTTAATTTTATCAATCAAATCACTTAACTATTTAAATAATATTAATCATGTCACTAATTCTTAACATTTAGCATAGAGGATTATGTGCAGTTAAAAAATAGTATGATCATGCATTTGATCTTTATTACTTATATATTCTATTAATTTGGCCTAATTTAAATTTAATTTAATCATTTGATGACATGTATCACCAATTTTGGACCAAAATTATTGAATATGTAAGTAACAGAGATCAAAAGTATAATTATATCAAAATTTTAAATGTAATGTCACATTCTGTAGTAAATGTTAACAATTAACGCGGTTGATATCATTTAAATATTTAAGTGGTTCGACTTACAAAATTGAAAGATCAGTTGTCATATTAAATCTCTCATAATTAAGTGATCATGGATGTAGTTTATCCAAATTTCTTTAAAATAAGTCAATTTTAAACTTTATTATTGCTTTAAATTATAATTTTAAAATGGACTAAATTGAACTTTGAGGAAACTAAACTCAATCTTAAACTTTTATTTACAAGGTTGCATTGCAAGTTGCCTCTTCTTCTCTCTCTCTCTCTCCAACTTGCGTTGTTGATCAATATATGATCAAATCAGTGATTAAGCAACTTAAAAAAACAATTAGCTACAATTAAGAGGCATAATTGACTAATAAAAGGTGAGCAAAGCAAAAACAAGTTGAAATCCTGTGCTGATCTCAATTTAAGAAGCAACATTTTTTATTTATTAATAGGTGTAAATATAATACATTATTTGTTCAAAAATAACTCTTAACCTTTTGATAATTAAACGTTTACACGTTTGATATTTCTAGAACTCGAATTCGATATCTCAAGAAACAACAATCAGGGATGGATCTAGGCAGGGACGGATAAGAAAAGTTATCTCCTAAAAATTTACTTTTATCTTTTTCAAGAATTTTATAAGTTTAAGTTCTTCCCACGTAACATAAAATATTATATTCGTCTCTAACGATAATAATTCTTTTACTATTGAAGTCTTCGTGCCATCTTGGCAACATCCGAGTGTGTGGGAGGGGAAGCAATCTTCAATGTAAGGACCAAGTCTTGGTTCAACTTCAACTGTCCAAAACACGTCGTTTTCGCAACCGACTTTTCAAATTCTTGCAAGCCAAATCCTTCTCGATGTCCTTAGTCAATGATGTCCATTATCACAATAAAACGACTCAAATCTTGATTCCTCTTTATTATTAAATCCAGGGGTGAAAAAGATTTTTGAGAGAACTAGATTTTTTAAGCAACTTTTAGGAAATTTCTTTAATTAAAAAAAAGGGGGAAATTCAAGTTGCTTAATTAATCACTTTGAAAAATCAAATCCACAGTTTCCTTTTAGAAAAATCTCTAATGGTATAATTCTGGAAGCGGTCCTTGTATCGTGTCAAACTTTTGCATTTGATCTTTCTACTTCATTTTGACACGATTTGAATACATTTGGTGGTTAAGACCAGCTTGCATAATTAATTTCCTTGACCTGTCGGATTATATATATCTGCCACGGGAAAATATATAACTCTTTACCTAAATATTGTTCAAATTCCTAACGTGGCCGCCAACAACATAACAACACTCTATATTTGAGGCTCATTTTGTAACATAATGAATAATCGGGTGATTATTTTGTAATTTTTATTAGTCAAAGGACTCAACAAAATAACACTTTGTATTTAAGGATCATTTTATAACTTTTAATAATCAAATAACTTAATAAAACAACACCCAATAGTCAGAGATCAATGTACTTTACCAAAAAAAACACATAAAATGGGTTTATGAATTGGTCTGCATTTGTAAGGCCGAACCCAACTTTAGCATACATAAATGGGTTTAAGCTTGGAAGAGACAATCCTACTTGATGCTAGGAGCCCTAGTATTTTCTTAAACCTCCATTCACGTCCAAATATAAACGTAGAATGTCCAAAATGACTCCATTACTTGCTTTCCTCATCAAATCACTTGTTTTAAAAGAATTTATATCAGATCATATAAGCGTTCTTCATTAACTAGATTCTCTATGAAAATCGTTTAAAGTTTAAACCCTAGCCCATCATTGTCATCCTCACTACTTTTCCAAGTCAGGTTGCATACACCATGATTGGCTTTGACTACTTTTTCTTCACAACAAGATCTCGCCTTTGACTCTTCTGTGTTCTTGCTTCTTCTTCTTCTTTTGACACTATGGTGTGCAAGTTCAGAAGGGACCCTTTGCCTTCCATAATGAGAATTTGTACGACAACGATATGATCTTACAACAGAGCTTATTGGTATGAAAATTCATCATTTTGTTTCAGCATTCTTTCCCTTGTTTTACATTCTTAGTTGGCTTGGACAAAACTGTGTTAAATTTGCAAACTTATCAGGCAATTATACATTGAAATCATTGCTAAAAGGCACACCGCTGGTGTTGAAGCATGTTCCTTGAGATAAGGGAAGTGGTAGGTCAGGGTAAATTTGGCCAACGGTGACACAAAAAGTTTCAAACTGTTAATGATGGTAAACTCACTAACATGCAATGATTTTAATATTTCACCTTTGCTGAATCAAAAGTAAAACCATATAATGAGATTAAAAACAACTTTAATTTTCATTTTTTAATGTTTATGGGGAACAGAATCAATTCCCAAACAGGTGAACCATCATGGAATTCCACTGATATAGAGCAGACACCAAAAGCCTAAACACAATAATTGATATCACTTCAAAATTGTAAATTTTCCATTTCACCAAGGGGTTAAAAGGGTGTAATTGAATAATGTAAATTTGGGAGGGACTAAAGAATCAATTATACCACTTAACCAAGGGTAATGTTTTAGTAGTTATTAAAGACCACTGACAAACCGCAAATCAAACTCGAGCGACATGACAAGCTATCTACAAACACAAATCGGGTATCCAAATCCAATCCAAGGGTCCAAAGCAAGGAAGATCAACAAGATATCATATAAATGTCATCTTGATCAGTCGTAGCGATATCAAATCATTGTAAAAAGATAAATGAAAAAAAAGATTAAAGGACCAAAAAAACATACCAAATGACAGAAGAAAACGTGTCACAAAGATAGATGAAAATGTGTCATACAAATAGATTTACTAAAAAAAATTATGTTGTAATATTATTTCTTAAAGTTTATTTCTAATGGTTTGTTGTTTTTCTCTCCATATATCAGCATTACGACTTTCTTATTTAAATATATGAGTTAACATAACATAGATCCTTAATTAAAAATCAATATTCCCTAAACCCCTAAAAAAAATTGACTGTAATGGCAAAAAAAATCCTACATTTTGCTTTATTTCTTGGTGAAAAGACCCAATATTTGTCTTTCTTTGATAATGAGGTTGAGCTGGCCTGCTAGAGGTTCTCCATTGACGTACCTTATAATTTGTTAATTTGTTATTTGCAGTACATTTACATTAGGGATGATAAACGGACGGGTCGGGTGCGGATACCTCTTCCCCATCCCCATAACCACCTAATATTTTTCAATTCACCACCCGCCCACCACCCATGATGGGTACAAATTTTAAAATCCACACCCGTCCACGAGGGTACATTTTCAAATCTATCCCCACACCCACTAACGACATATCCATCTAGACCCGCCTAACAGCAAACTAATGGGATGTTGGAGTTGGTTCCCAGACAGTTCGTGATGGGGTAGCAATGCATGCTTCTTCAATTTGTCAGAGGAGTGACTCTACGAATGTTTTGGAGACAGATTGTAGGGAGCATGTAGTCGTAAAGTTGGATTGTTGAGTTGCTTTCGATGTTAATGCTCATAGTGCGCCTAATATGGATTTTGAGGGGCTAAAGAACATGGAAACTGATATTTTTGATGTTAATGCATATAGTACGGCTAATTTGTGTTTGAATGGGCAGCATGGGCTAAAGAACATGGAAAGTGACGTGGTTAGTGGGATTATGAGTTTAATCAAAGAGCCGAATATTTCCCTAATTAAAGACCAGATTAAAGACTAAATATCCTTAATATTTGGTTAAATTATATGTTATATATTATACAATATTAAAATTTATAAATTAGTCCCTAAAACTACACTTAAATTTATAATGGTCCAAAATTTAATAGATATTTAGCTGGGCGGATGCGGGGCGGGTAATGTCTCAAACCCATTACCAGCCCACCACCCACGATGGGTACCACTTTATAAATCCACACCCGCCCACTACCAGCTAAAATTATACCCATCCTCGCTCCAATTGAAGCAGATACGGTGCGGAATCTACGAAACTGTACCCATTTGCCATCCTTAATTTACATATATTTTAAAATAATACTATTCAAATTCATATCATCAAATAAATATATACTCCTTTATACAAAATAATTTTTTTGGGATAAAATAAAAATGGTTAGTTTATTATAATTTGAAAAATCCAAATTATAACAAAAGACTATAATCATAATCATAAACAATACATAATAAGTATATTTTCTTATAACTGTTAACACAAGAAACAAGTCACTTAATATCACACAAGGATCATACAAGAAAAATATTAAAAAAAATTGAATAAAGTGTAGATACAAACGAATATAGTTGTATTAGTAAACTAGCCACAAAAAGATATCAAATTATTGAAAGACAAAACCATAAATCTGTGTCCCTGGGAAGGCGACTAGCTGTTCCACTACAAATCTGTGTTTTGCAAGGTTTATCTCGTGACAGATCGTTTGCTTTCCATGGAGATTCCTGCACATGTGGGTGGGAGTCCTTCCAATCTGGCTAATGGGGATAGTAACCCTTTGGATGAAGCTGTTGGCTATGGAAGTAAGATAGAGAGATTGGTGAAGATTGATCCCTTTAGGGGAAGCTGGGGTTTACGTTTTCTTGAGCTAGAGATGTCTAATCCAACTGACGTGGTGTTTGAAATTAGTGTTTCTGTCTTGGAAAAACCAAGCAATGAGAGCAATGTTTGTGTTGATTATGCTGCGGAATATGGTTATCCCAAAACCAGAATTGACAGGGAATACTTTTCAAAGGCTTCAATACCACTTGAGCATTTTAAGTTACCATTTCTTGATGATTCAATTTTGTCGATAGATTTGCAATCCGATGGGTTCACAGGTGGTAAAAGTTCTAGTTTATCAGAAAGAAATACAAATCTGAACTAAATGCTTCCATTAAGATCCTCCCTTCCAGAATAAAAGTCAGGTAGCAATCAGGACGGAACAGCTCCGGAGAACTGAACATCACAGATGCGATACGAGCAGCCCTTCAGTCGTCCATCATGGATATACTATTGCCAGATCCTTTGACTTTCGATTTCAGGCTTGCTAGAAATGATTCTGAAAATGCTGCAAAACTTGATTCACCACTAGAATCTGATACTAGTACACAGCCCTCTGCGTCAAAGAATCCTGTAATTGCACGTGATATGACTCCTATGGAAGTTCTGATTCGGAATAACACGAAGGAAACCGTCAAGACGAGTCTTAGTGTTGCATGCAGAGATGTAGCAGGACAGAATTGTGTTGAGGGCACGAAGGCAACTGTCCTATGGGCTGGTTAGTTCCTTTTATCTTACGGTATCTTTATACTGCAGTTCCGTTATCCTGTTTCAATAACATCATTTTTAGTCATACCTTTGTTTTCCGGGAGAAATAATAAAGAGCCTCCTTAAAAAAAGAGTTTCAAAACAGTCCAATTAGTGTGCGCATCACGCCTTAATTATATTTCCGAAAGCTTGATTATGTTTTTGTTATCAGGTGTTCTAAGTGGAATCACCATGGAGGTTCCTCCACTCCAAGAAAGCAAACATAGTTTTTCTTTGTACTTCCTCGTCCCGGGTGAGTACACCTTGATTGCTGCTGCTGTAATCGTCAATGCAAACGACATTGTAAGAGCCAAAGCAAAATGTGAATCTCCTGACGAACCTAGTTTTCGGAGAGGGCCTCCGTTTCATGTTGTGAGTCATTGGTACCTGTAGACACCTAATTTTCATCTTTTTTTTATGAGTACCACAAATTATATTATATAATTTTAATTATATTATATAGCATAATTTTATTTACATTCATATGTTTATTTTACACTTGCAGGCCCATTATACAAACATTTGCATATGGCCCAGCCAAGACCCAAACAGTGGGTGACCCAGCAATTCACGTGACCCGTTTGGCACCCGAACCGGATCCAGTGGGGAGTCCAAACCCGAACCGGTCCAGCTAGGGTTTGAAACCCTAGCATTCTTTTCCCATTTCAGCGCCGTTTTAAAGACCCTTCGGCCAGCTGCGCCTCTCCAACCCCGAATCATCCGCCGGCCGTTTCGCTCACCACTAACAAACGTGCATGAGTGGAACACAAACAAAACAAGAGTTTTATTAGGGTATAAACTCCTAAAAATAGCATCATTCTGGATATAAATAGAATGATATAAATAAGCTTGTAAAGAACATTCGAGGGGGGGGGGAGATCACCAGAACCGGACGAGAGAAACCATACAGAACCAGAAGAGAGAAACCACACAGAACCATCACCGAGAGACAAAGGAAACAACACAAGAAGGACATTGCTCAAGAGGTCGTGAAGAAGAGGAGACGTGCCACGAAGAAGCCTTACTCCGGATCAGTTGTGGGTGCCACCTTAGAGGTTATCCAGAAGAAGAGGAATGAGAAACCCGAAGTTCGTGATGCTGCAAGGGAAGTTGCTCTCCGAGAAATCAAGGAAATAATCGAGAAAACGAGGAAGGAAATGAAAAGGCAGAAGAAGAATGAGATAAAGCAGGAGACAACATGATGAAACACACCTAAAGAGGGGCCCGTGTTTGACATATCTGGCAAATGAATGGAAAAGCAATTTATTTTGGTCTTTTGCGTGAGACTAAACAAAAATCCCATGCTTTTGAACCTTGGCTAAATTCACTATATGATCCTTCATTTATTATGGGTTATTTTTTCTTTCATTCATTTTATTACTTTTAAATTTTTTTTCCCTTTGGTTTATTTGATATTTAATTAATATTTCTTATCTAACATTTTTACTTTTTAAGGGAATTTTTTTCCGATCAAAGGTAAGCAATTCGAAACGAATATTTTAAATTTTAATTTAAATTTCAAATTTTCGCTACTAAGACAACCGATAAATTAATTGGTACCGAAAGGGCGGTTCAAGGGTGCTAATCCTTCCTTCACCGTAACCGACTCCCGAACCCGACATATTTCTGGTAAAACGCAGACCAGGTGAGATGATGTCCGATCAGCCTAAATATTTTTTAAAAATGATCGGTGGCGACTCTAACCCAATCAATTCAAGTCGAAGTCCAATTCCGGGGCCCGACCGAAAAAACGGTTGCGACAGTACCGAATAACCTTTCTTCTTTTTCATTTCCGCATGACGTAAAATGCTTCTCAGTCGAAAGCTATACTAGCATCTTCCAATAATCATCAACCACCCAAATTGCTGCTTCTCAAAATCCAGTTAGTGTACAAAATGGTTTAATGTCTGCAAATGAGACCACTTGTGTATGCATTTGGCTGTTTCTTTATTCATTTTATACATTGGTTTTGTGAAATATATTTGAAAGTTAAATAGCTATTTTATAACCGTCTTGGATTTAATGATTATTTTATAACCTTTGAAAGTTTAATGACCAGAATATCATTTGATTTTAGTTAAGTGACTTTTGGTGTACTTTACCTTATAATAAATTCCAGTAGCTCGTTTAGCATTGTTGTGGAGTGGGGGAGTCAAGTGATCATGGTTGAAAAGCTCAAATCGGACGTTGAACCGGTTGGATTCTAATTGTCAGTTTAATCAATTGCTCGAAAGATTTTAAACAACTAGTTGATCTAGTGAGATGACGCACTAGATATCTTAAATAATGTCAGGAGTCCGAATGATGACGTTTGCGAACGTAATAAATTGGGTTAGGAGAGTCACTCTCGTTTTTACAGTATCCGATCTGGATTAGGCGGAGGATTTCAATAATAAATTAAAAAAATAACAATAAAATTTTCACAGTAAACCAAAGCATAATTGAAAAACCCCCAACTGTTTTAAGAAGTCAAATAATCTATAGTTCACTTGATTTGTAGTCATTTTTTATGTCATAAATTTTTGTTAATTTCAACTAGAATTTCGAATTAATTAATTTTGTATTCAACTAAATGAACAAACAAATTCCAATGGTAGATCCAAATTGCAAGTTGCTTAACAGTGGTATTGTGGTCCATGGAAGGGAGATGATTTTTGTGGGGTGGGGGGCAATTGTAAAGGGAACATAAAGCCATAAATGGGAGGTTTGGGGGGGGGGGGACCAAATTCACCATTGCTAAAAACTCAACAAGTTTTAGGCACATTCTCAGCCTCTTAAAAAGCTCATATCTTGTCAAATAAGTCTCTTTTTTATCAAATAAACACATCAATCTCCACAACATTTGATTGAAATGTCATGTAATAGCGAGGGGGGAAGAAAAGAAAGCATCTTCTTATTCAATGCAAGCGGCTTGCTTGCCCTAAATGACTCGTTTTTGTACATTTCTTGAAATAACCCAAAGCTTTATTTTTACCCCAAAATTCCCTAATAATTGTACTAAATTAGATACCCAATTTGCTTATAAGAGTATGATTGAATTCATGCAGTCAGATAAGATTCTTAAATATAAATAAATCTTCTTATAAATTTCAACTCGTAACTTTATATAAAAAAAAATAAAGGCTTAAGGGTCATATTTACCCCTGTAGTAGATTCAATTTATCATTTTCATTCTTGTCGTATTTTTACATCAATTTAACCCTCAAAGTTGTTCAATTGCAACATTTATACCCTACCCCTAACTTAAAACCCTAAATTATAAAACTTGAGTTGTGATTTAGATTTAGATTTAGGGTTATGAGTTTAGGGTTTAAGGTTTACATTATAGGGTTTTAAGTTATGAATAAGGTATAGAATGATGCAATTGAGTAACTTCAAGAGCTAAATTGATGCGAAAATACATAGAGACGAAAATTATAAATCGAGTCTACTGCAAGAGTAAAAGTTACCCTTTTACCAAAATAGAATTTCTTATCATTTGACTTAATAATTGATAATCATGCACTTGATTTTTTAAGACCTTAATTAATTTTAAAGCAAATTAAATCTCTTAATATTATTTTTATCTAAAAATTCGAATTAAAACTTTATTTGATAAATATTAAACGTTGCATTATTTTTGTCTATTTTTACTTTGTTTAATATGGTATGGTACGGTTGTTTTTATAGTGACAAACCCCCGTTTGAAAGGGAAATATGTAGATAAAATAAGAGCAAAATAGATGTCTTGTTTGTGCACGAAAGCATGCAACATTGTTTTTTTCATCCCTTGTGGATAAGGCGAGTCACATCGATCTGGTGGGGCCAAAAATAACCCCTTTGTCACGCCTAACGGAATTTGATGGTTCCTTCCATGTATTTCTTTCTAACATTTTTAAGGTTAAAAAAACAATAATTGAAAATATTATAAAAATTATAATATTTTAGGTTATACGTGATTTAAAATATTCATTTTTTCTTAATATTTTACGGTTTCTTTTTAATATTTGTTTGTTAGCAATAAAAAATGTTACCTTATGTATAATAATTTTTTGTTACATTTTGTATAAAAAAAATGATAAAAGGGTTACTTTTACTCTTGTAGTAAATTCAATTTATCACTTTCGTATCGATTTAGCCCTCGAAGTTGTTCAATTTTATCATTTCATGCTCTACTCCTAACTTAAAACCCTAAATCATAACTTCGTATCCTCTAAATCATAAACCATAACTCATGGTTTATAATTTAATGTTTTAATTTAGGAGTAGGGTATAGAATGATGTAATTAAACAACTTTGAGGGTCAAAATTAATCCGAAAATACGATATAGACGAAAATGATAAATTGAATTTACTACAGAGAAAAATGTTCCGTCTAACCTAAAATATTATGATTTTTATAATATTTTCGGTCATCTATATATATATATATATTGCCTTTTTTAGCCTTAGATTGGGTAGAGTAGGGCAGAAGTACCTCATTCAACGTATATTGAACCCTTTTTTTTTAATTTCTTTGTCAAATTCAATGTTTAGTGATTTTTATTGGGTAAAGTAAAGTACACCAAAATGTCCTTAAACTATACACAAATGATCATTTGGTATAGTTATAAATATACACCTCAACAAATTCACTCTTATCGGTCTTTGAGAAGAGGGTATGATATTCAAACAAACACGAGAGAAAAGCAACCACAAGCCTTTAAATTAGATTTTTCCTACTACTATAAATAACACTATTACTCTTGCTTTTAATATTAAAATTGATTAATCAAGGTTGGACCCCCCCCCCCACACAATAAAACAAGTTATCTAAACCTGCCTCCACAATTCTTTATTTAATCGTTGAATAATTTCAAGGTTAAATTTAATATCACTAATTGTTAATATAATGAGAGGGAATATAGAGGTTTAAGTCGCTTTATGTAATAAACACATAATCATAATATAATATGAGTAAACATAAATAGGGTTAAATTTATCCTAAGGATTTATCATAGTAAATAAGTATATAATTAGAACAATTTCTTATAATCATTCAAACAAAACTAGCAACTTAAGATTATAAGAACAATATGATGAAAGATTAAAAATTTATTCAAGAAATTCGAACAAATATAGATACAAATAGATCTGATCGCATAGGCAAACGAACCACAAAAGGGATTAAACTATTGAAAGATCACTAACAAACTCACAAATCAGACTCGAACGACGTGAAAAGCTATCAATAAACACAAAATAAGTATCTAAACCCGCTCTGAGGGTCCAAAGCAGGGAAGATCAATAAAATATCAGATAAACGTAATATCGATCAGTCATAGCGATGTCAGATTAACTCTTAGTAAAAGATAATTGAAAAAAAAAGTCAAATGATAAAAAAATATGCCAAAAGAAAAAAGAAAACATGTCACAAAGGTAGATGAAAATGTGTCATACATGCAAACTTATTTATAAGAAAACAAAATAAACTATAAATACGATAAAAGAAAGGAAAAATATAATAAAAATATCAACGGTCGACAATCAACATTAAAATTAGTGTCATTACCGATCAACTAAGATGAAAAAAAGAGACGAACGACACATCGATAATATAAAACTAGGTTTATACTTAATTTGTTTTAACATATATAAATAAATAATATTGTACAAGAAAGCATAGTTATTTTTTATCGCATATACAAAACAAAATTACAAATATAAATATATATTTGAATAATTATCAATCGATAATTAATATATATTAAAATAAAATATAAACCATATAATCACATATAATATTTACCATTTTGTCAAAGCTTTGTGTTTGTTTTTGTTATAAATAACTGTCTTAATTTAAAAAATTGAAGTATATCATAATATATATTTTCTGGTTATTATTATTATTGATAATTGAAAATAATAAATAATACATATGTCCCGCAAAGCGTGTGGGTTCATGCAACTGATTGAAACAAAGAGCAAGCGTGACGGACTCCTATTGGTTGATGTTGACTGCCTCAAAGAAGGTGGCGGATGCTCCATGAAACCTATGCCAGGTTGCACCCGATTCTATTTTTTTATGTGAGTTTGGACTTCGACACGTGTCCCTCAACTAACCATTCACTTCATTGTTCGGGATGAAGTCCACGAATGCATATCAATACAAAGTATAATTACTTTTCTATCCCACAACTTTTGAGTTTATTTTTATCAAATTGACCTAAATGCTTTTTCCTTTCTTTGCTCCACGTCACCAACAATTTTGGAGAAGAAAAAATCAAAACAAATACCTAGTTTATCTTTTATCGGAAGGTTGATATTAGCTATCTTTTCTTTTCTTGGTTATAACTATTAGGTGGTATTTGGTTCGTTGGAATCCCTTAGAATTAGAGGGAATTCGAATCTAATTCTACCATTTTTTTATGTTTGGTTCAAGTTTTCAAAAGGGAAATGAGAATTCAATTCCATCAAGGGAGGGAAAGTAAATTTCATCTATAACATGATAGAATTGAAATCTTTTGGAGGAGGGAATGTGAAATTTGACCATACTACTCTCATCAGGTACTCGGGTCGGATTTTTTTTAAAATTTCAGGATCGATGGGATTTTTTTTAAAAAAAATTCGGGTTCGGGTCGGGTCTGATTTTTTAAAGTTTGATATTTGGGTTGGGTCGGGTTTTTGTAAGTGTGATATTCGGGTAGGGTCGGGGTTTTTTAAAAAAAATCGGGATTTGGTCAGATTTTTTAAAAAAATTTAGGTTCGAGTCGGATTTTTTTTAAATTTGATATTCGAGTCGGGTCGGGTTTTTTTAAGTGTGATATTCGGGTCGGGGTCGGGTTTAGGGTGAAAAATACCAGACCCGAAAAAATATATAATTTTACATTATATATTTAGGAATAATTACAATAATACCCCTCTATATATAATTTTTTTCAATTAAGTCACTGTTTTTATTGAATAAAAATATTTTTTTATTATTTCAGGTTAGGTCGGGTTTCTAATTAATATATTTGGGTCGGGTCTCGGGTGGAGGTTCCCTTGTTCTCGGGTCGGGTCCCGGGTGGAGGTTCCTTTGTTCTCGGGTCAGGTAGGGTGGACCAAAAACCCGACCCATGACCATCCCTAATTGGGATGATTTTAACTTATGATGTTCATTTGTATGATTTTTATAATTTATTAAAATGAATAATCAATCAATAAAATGAAAATTTAATATTTTTAAAATTTTTATAATATATTGATACATGTAAATTATAAAATAAACTAAAGTTAAAAAATAAGGGTAATTCAGTCATTTTATATTACTAAAATCAAATTCATCTCATGTCTGCGAACCAAACAGAATATGAAATTGGATTCCAATTCAATTTCCTGCCAACCAAACAAGTTTCAGATTCAGATTCCAATTCCCTCAGAAACATTCTAGCGAAGCAAACACCACCTTAGTATCTAATTTATTGACCGACTAATATGAATCGGGTGATGCATATGTAAGAGAATCCTTCGAATCCAATTTACTCTATTCACAATCATTATGATTCAAACCTCTAATTTTACTTAAGAGATCAAGCGTCTTATCTCACTGGACCAATTATTATTAGTGATATTAGCCATCTTTATTACTACTAGACAGAGAAAGTCACCCCTAATCTAAATTTTTGTGTGAAAAAAGACGGTCAATCTTATATTGGTCCAATTAGTAAGCTCCACGGTCTTATCAACATGGAAATCATGCATATAAAATTTCTCTTTCTTCTCGACCTTTTAATCATTCAAATTTGAACAAGAATACTGATGCAAGTGCATCAAAAGGAACTTAAAAAATTTAAGTTTGAAAGTGTAGGATGCTACATTAACTATCTAATTTGACACTACAGTTAAAAAGTTGTAGGATCCTACATTAACGTATACAATAACTATCTAATTTGACACTACAGTTAAAAAGTATCTACAGCTTGACATTTAGGTTAATTAAACCGGCGGCTGTGAAAAAGCAAAATCTCGGTGGTGCCCCTCAGTACCCTATCATTCCACGCGTACATCCCTGATACGCTCCAACCTCGTCCCCTGCCCTCCGAGCTGGGGACCACATCGTGGTCCACGCACCGTCACTCGACGCGTGTCCTGGTTGTCGCTGTCCCGCGAGTGGCGGAGAGAGTAGCAACGTCATTTACGATCTCCCTTTTTGCGACGTTTTTTTTTTGGTTTCCTTTCTCAATATCTCGAGGGATGAGTCACCGCCTAACGCCGGAAAACCGGACAAAACCGCCGCATGAAAAAATCTAAGATTTTTCCTAGTCTCCACTTCATTAAGAATCAAATAAGCTTGGTTAAAAGTGGAAGGATTGACGCGGAGAGCACGCTCCCAGGATGAAGGATACAGCTGCTTATTGTACGATTCGTGAACAACGAAACAGAAACATTGCTCTTCTTTCTAGATACGATGATGTAGTGTTTCTGCATGCGCGGTCACCAGCCACGTTCACATATTTTTTAATTATAATTTATAGGGTAAATCAAGTGTTTAGTACCTAAATTATCAGTTTTATTCCATCTTAGTACTTTAAATTTTGATTTATTCAAAATAAATACCTAAAATTTAGTTTTTATTTCATTTTAATACACGTAATTAAAAACTTTAGTTTTTGTTTCATTTTAGTATCCTGTAAAATTTAACTTTAATTTTGAAAAAAAACTGAAAGCTTATATACTAAACGTGTTAATTTTTAATCGTACGATACTAAACTGAAATGAAAAATAAACATTAGGAAGAGTTTTAAAAATATTAAAAATTTATATATTAAAACACATCAAAACTGATAATTTAGATACTAAATATGTAAATTACCCTAATTTATATTCAACAATCGTAAACATTAGTTAACCATATGCTAATATACAAAGTTACTCGTTATTGAATTGTATTTAGTGATCTATGCAAAGTTACTCGTTGTTTTTATAAGACAAGTTGAAATTGATTTTTACATTTATGACCCAAACAAAGTATTTATTGGCAACAAAAGTGGAAGTGGCTCAAACAGTATGTGCGTTTCAATAGTTTCCCCGATTAGCATAACTGTTGGTATTACTATTAAGCCATTGCAAACCAAGAAAGATCGTTTCCCTCTTTTGCTGCTGCCGTCAAATCTTCATCTATTCCGACCATTGCTGAAATTGCCTTTCAACTTTCTTGTTTTGGCAGAGAACAAACACACAGTAACCAAATCACATAAAAACAATTGTTGGCAACGGTTTAAAGAAGATCGCATCAACAGATTCACTGATACCTTGTCACTCATCTACATGTGCATTTTTGTTTTTGTTGTCGATGGAAATGGTTTCTATCCGCACCATTTTGTGTCGAATGTTAAATAGTTATATATATATTGGGATGGGTATTACAAAGGTGATCCATCAATTCAGTTTGTTTTATTCATAAATGTCAATGGTAAATCTAAAAATATTTTTTAGAGTGAACATATATATGTTAAGGATATAAAACTTTTGAATGAGGTAAGCATAAATAAAAGTATAAATTAAACATTATCAATAAAATAGGTCATAATCGAAGAAATTTCAGGGTAGGCACAATAAATATTTAGATAGACACCATCAATAAAATAGATGACTAATTGAAAAAATTCGAATTTCATGGTAGGCACGTGTTCACCCATGGCCCTTAGTGCATCTTCCAGTGATAATCGTCAATATTCAAACCTTTAAAATTGTTTAAAAAATATAATATCTCATCTCACTATATTAATTTAATTTGAACGAGAGTATGAAAAACAATGCTAGAAAAAGCTTACCCCTCAAAACAAGGTTTAATTTGATTCAAATCCAAAGTTAACCGAGTCAAATGATAGTGAATTAGTATAGTATGACTTTGAAGGTTTAATACCTTCAAATAATGTCCTAAATTTGAAAAGTTTATAAAAAAAAATGAAGGGCATATATAAAAGGAAAATGGTCACATCCACCATTTTCACAATATAAGCAAGGCTTGATGACCTAGACTAGCTTCTTCAAAACTACTTTCCCTTGCCTTCATCTTTCCCTTTCTATCATCAAACACATTGCTTACAGTAACTTGGATTGATAGTTACAATCATTTCTTAACCTTTCTCTTACACCATCTATCTACGCTTTAAAAGCCAAAGCCCTCACCTTTGCTCCCACTCTCTCTCTAAAAACAAAGACTTTTTCTTTCTTTCTCTCTCTATCGAACAACCGTTAATTCATAATCGTCGAAACGTTGTGGTTGTCGTCGTATCTCTCGCTTCTGTATCCGTTTCCATGGCGTTTCACCACAACAACCATCTTTCCCAAGACCTTCCCCTCCATCACTTCGACGACGAGCAGCAACAGCAACAAGCGGATCAACTGGCGGAAACCGCCTGTCCCAATTGGTTGAACACCGCCCTCCTACGCTCGCAGCATCCTCAGTCGCCGCAGCCGCATGGTGGTCAGTTCTCTGACCATGGCTTCCTCAACCTTCACACTACAGAAACTGGTTCGGACTCCACCTCCACGGTTCGACAAGCTCAGAACCGATGGCTATCACGTTCGTCGTCTTCGCTTCTTCACCGCAACCAAAGCGACGTCATCGACGACGTGGCGGCCACCGCGGCAGGAGGTGGTGGGGACTCCATGATTGCCGTGGAATCGGGGGATTTGAAGAACAGTAACAGCGAGACTTTGAATAACAACAAGAGCGAAGGTATCGTAGTGGAAAGTGGAGGAGATGGGGCCGTGAATTGGCAAAATGCTAGGTGCAAGGCGGAAATACTGGCGCACCCTCTGTACGAGCAATTACTGTCAGCACACGTGTCGTGCCTTAGGATCGCCACGCCGGTGGATCAGCTCCCGAGGATCGACGCTCAGCTGGCTCAGTCTCAGCATGTGGTGGACAAGTACTCGGCTCTCGGCGGCGGAGCCCAGAGCTTGGTCGCCGGCGACAAAGAGCTCGATCAATTCATGGTATGCTTTGAAAATCATTTCAAAACTTTCGTGATTAAATTCAGCGGTGCACGATGCACCGACAATTATTTTTGCAGACAATGGAATTTCCATCCCTCTGTTTTGAGACTTGCTGATTGAAACAGAGTGTTTCCATTTATGTCTTTAGAGTTTTGGATTCATTTCGCTAAACGTCTTCAAATTGTCGCTCATATTCTAAATTGCACTCAAACCCCAATTAATTCTAATTTGAATCCCCACATCTCAATCGGAAGCAAACATTTTTTGAAGCTTAGGACCAAGTTATTGCTTTATTATGCTTAATTGATGGCTTTGGTCATTGAATTTTTAAAAGTTATAAAATGATCATCATATTAATCGAATTATTATAAAACGATAATTATATTTATTGAACTATTACTAAATGATAATTACATTTGTCGAACATTTATAATTATTGTAAAGTCACAATCATCATTTTGCAAGTAAATTAATGACTATTTTGTAGTGTTTGAAAGTTCAGTGCCTCTGATGTATTTTTCCCTTGTGTCTATTGTTGCCACTTACAAATTTTAATGGATCTTTTTTTATTTTGAAGTTGCCATTGAAGATGATTTTATAACATTTCCCTTCCCTCTTAATGTAGACGCAATATGTTCTGTTGCTATGTTCATTTAAAGAACAATTGCAACAACATGTTCGGGTCCATGCAATGGAAGCTGTTATGGCATGCTGGGAGATTGAACAATCCTTACAGAGCTTAACAGGTATCTTAGTTTGAATGTCAAGAAGATGATGGCGCATTAATATCCTTACTGCTGACGATTCACATTGTGTCGGAAAAAAGCCGATATCCGACACTCACCACGTCATTTCTGTTTCTATGCATAAACAGGAGTTTCTCCGGGAGAAGGAACGGGGGCAACAATGTCTGATGACGATGAAGACCAAGTGGACAGTGATGCCAACTTGTTTGATGGAGGTTTCGACGGTCCCGAATCCATGGGATTCGGACCCCTTGTCCCGACAGAGACCGAAAGGTCGTTGATGGAGCGTGTGAGGCAAGAACTGAAACATGAACTGAAACAGGTAATAAAATTAATGAACAAAAAAACCATTGTTTGTAGAGTTTTTTTTTAATGTTGCAACTCAATGTTTACATTCCTTGTAGGGTTACAAGGAGAAAATTGTGGACATAAGGGAGGAAATTTTACGCAAGAGGAGAGCAGGAAAGCTTCCTGGTGATACAACATCAGTTTTGAAAGTTTGGTGGCAGGCACATTCCAAGTGGCCATACCCTACTGTAAGTGCTAGTCCTTAGGACGACGGTCCAACTAGCCGAGGGAGTCGATTAAAACATGTTATGTTAAATTGGTCGGTTTCCGGTGTTTATATCTATAAACTAAGTAACCAGCTTTGTTAAATATTTCAGGAAGAAGATAAGGCGAGGTTGGTTCAAGAAACAGGCTTACAACTAAAACAGATAAACAATTGGTTCATCAATCAAAGGAAGAGGAACTGGCATAGCAACCCATCAACTTCGAACGTCTTGAAGAGCAAACGAAAAAGGTATGTTGAACATCATGCATGTCTTGTTCCTAAACTTGTAGCCACATAACCAACCTTACTTTTCTAAAGAAGTAATGAAGGTGAAAAGTGAAAAACACACGACGGTGACTAATTAATTTACGTGATGTCGCAGCCGATGAAACCCGATTCGTAGCCGTTTTTTGCTGGTATGCATTGGTGCAATGTGCTGACTGATGCAATAGTTTTAGGGAAGTAAAGGAAATTATACTAGTGTAATTTTATGATTTTTGTTCACTTTTTTCTTTGTGTGGTGGTGAGTGTACAGTGCAATAAACCTCTGCATAGTTTGCTTACAGTCATGCTAGAACATCATCATTATAATAGCTTCCTTCTTCTCCAGTATTGTAATGTGGAGTTTGAATTTGCAGCAGAAAGCGTTCACATTTGGTTGCAGATATGCTTGAAAGGCTTCTTTTAAGGCTTTTTTTTTCTCTGACCCGTTCCATTGTTCTTTCCTTTTAATGATGAAATTCGATTCCCAATGCCTTCCATGATGATGAATGATATCATAGAGTTTGTGTTTTTTGTTGATTAAATTTGTGATGAAATTAGACTGATCTTGGACAATCTCTCCCTTGTCACTTATAAGAAGAAAAGTTAACACGTCTTACCAAAATGGTATAATTTTGAATTAAATCCCTTTTATTAAAACTAATAAGCTAGTTCATCAACTTTAATTAATCAGAATTTGGTCGATTAGTTTACAAGAAATAACATTCTTGGTCGAGTATACTGTATATGAAACTCGAATCACAGATGAACAATATACAAAAAGAATCACTCGATGATAGTTTACTAGCAATATATCCGCAGCCTTTTTGTGTTGCAGATCCCCAAAGTTTACCGCGGATGGAGCTGCGAATCTAGCACTAGAAACCGGGATATCCGGCCTCAGCTTCCCCGTGGATCCCTTCATCGAAACTGAGTTCGTAACTTTGAATATCGTACTGCATCGTCGCCGACCTCCTTTTCTTGTTGATCCCATAAACACTAAACCTTGTAATGAAATTCTTCCACCTCGGACCTGCCAACACCTCTTATATCTATTGCAGTTTCTTGGGTTTTCTCTTCGCCCAACTCTCTCTAGTTTCCTCTGTTTGCAGCAAGTATCCATCATTGTTGAATCGTATATGTGGATTTGCCTTCAAATCCGAAAAGTAGTAGATATCTAACTTAGACTATCCTTTATATATGTTATAGTGAAATAACTCCCAACATAAATGTAATTATCAACCTAAAATTTTGAGACTTTCTCTGCGTAACATTTCTAAAGAAGATTGAAATAGTAAAGAACTTACCGGTAAGTCTCATCCATCGATAGTTGTCAAATGCTCAACCTTATCCATATCCCATATTTTAATAACATGGTCATCAGCCGCTGCCAAGAACTGCTTAATTGGACCAAACTGCACAACAGCTGAAGAATTTTTGCAAAGACCTTGATAGGTTCTTTTTGCATCACCTTCACTTTCATTCCATTCAACAAGGAATCTCCATTTTTATTAGTCCCACATGAAAACAGCCTGTGAAAAAATCCTTTAAGTACACCAAAAGTTTAGCGCATCTATCATTTGTCGTTTTGCATCTATATAACATCTCATTTATAACGACGTTTAGTGAGAAAACGATTGAGTGGCCAAAAATGTTAATTGTACTAAATTAAGCGAGGAAATTGATAATTTTATTGCGATTCATAAATTTGTCTCGTGCTTAAAATAATAAAATAACGTGTGTTAAAATGATAATTCATATAGAACAATGTTTCGTTATTTCGAGACATCGATATGATCCCTATGTAGGTTTTGGAGTATGGTAGATCAATGCACGAAGACTTTAAGACCCAAGGCTTCATAGTTAACTTGGCAATGTTTTAAGGGATTGATTTGCACTTAATCTTATAATACAGGGATCCGAGAGCAGTTTAGCCAAAGCTAAAACAGGTGTAATGACTAATGAGTATTACAGCACATCCATAAAGCTGCTGCTAACTTACGCTACACAACGTCACTAGCCTGCTAACTTACGCTTCTGCGGGAGGGAAAAGAACGAAATTGACAAGAAATAGTGTATCCTTTGAATAAACCGCCAACAATCACCCGCCGGGAAAATTACACTGCCCCCCCTCTATGTCACATTATTACAGGTAAATTCTCTTGCGTACCGACATTTACTCTCTTGTCTCTCCATGTAAATCAATAATCCTAACTCGTTCTAGCGTTCGTGATTATCTTTCTCTGCTAACATTGTGGTGGCCTCTGGGGAAGTAAGCTTTGCTCCTTCTAATAATTGTTCCCCCCCCCCCTTTTGGAATTCGATTTCTCGGTGTGTTTGAAATTCTTGGTTTGTTTAATAGATACAGTTCAGATTAGGCACGGTATCGGTTTTGGATTTCACCTGACTTTGTTTACTTTGATTTGATCTTGAAGTTCCATTTCATTGATGTGATTCTTTGAAAATATGGGGAAGAAAATTAGGCTAGATCTGAAATCTGCTCTCATCAACCTTTGATAATATTCAATACGTTTAATCATTTGCATTAGAGATAGCAACTCAAACCGTTTCGTGTTCACAATCCATAACTTGTATAATTTTCAACTATAGTGAATCTCTCGTCTATTTCTCCCTGTTTTCTCACGTCTAGATTTTCATGTAAAATCTGTATCTTCTGGATTTATAATGCATTGTCATTATCTTGCCCAAATTTGTTACAATTTATCCTTGTATTGTGAATTGTAATATTTTTCTTTCTGTTTGCTTGGTTCAAATTGTTGTTGTTTCAGAACTTGGTTTATGAACACAAGACATTATTGTTAATGACACCCGGACAGGAGTTCACGTTATTTGAACATTTACTTCAGTTTTTTCTTATCTTAGCCCTTGTGAAAAAAGGGAAGTGCCGGGGTTACAAGTACTTTTACTCGTTCAAAATGGCAATATTTTGATATCCCTCTCGACCATAAAGTATTTGAAATTCCTAAAGGTTACAATGCTCCACAACAGGTAAGTATTTTGTCAATCAGTAACCCCATTACTGTAGCTAATTACTTTCTTGTCCAATCTGGATTAAATGATGATGCAACAAGTCATTGCCGATTTAAATCCAAGTCGGCTTCATGCTGCGCTGATCAGGGTGCTAGTTTTCCACACATCTTGGTTGTATGAATGAGGGTCACATGGATGTTATGATGATTAATGAGGTCTTATCAGTATGGAAAACGCTAGATTTGTTTTAAATTCTATGGAAAAGGTCTTTTAGAGTACAGTTTTACCAAGTGCCTTGAAAATTTTACTCCTTAAGATGATCTGTTACCAGTGCTATCTATCACGGCCATTTATTGATCTTTAGAATTAGAGCTTCGATAATTGGCTTCACTAAGCAGTTGTTATGGTGTAGGTGCATATTACTCAAGGGGACCATGATGGAAAAGCTGTGATAATATCATGGGTTACACCTGATAAACCTGGGCTTTCCAGAGTACAATATGGCACATCAGAGAAGAAATATGACTTTATTGCTAATGGCACAGTGACTAATTACACTTTTTACAACTACAAATCTGGTTATATTCATCATTGCCTTGTTGATGGTCTAGAGGTTGTTGAATCAAAATAGAGTAAAAACTCTAATTGATAAAAAAAAAAACTCTCTTTAGAATAATCTCACAAAATTGCAAAAGGGAAGAACTCTTAAGAAAGCTTTCAAATGCTTATAATTAAGCTTTGATTGTTGGATGATAAAACTCAAATACAAGTAGGGTATTTATAGGTTACAAGAAACAATCTAAACCACTCATTAAAATAAACACTAAATAATCTAAACCATTGAAATTAAAACATGAGAAAAATACTTAATTTTCACCTAACTAAATTGATGTAAGCAATGACATCAAAACTAAATTGATGTAAGCAATGACATCAAATTAATTTAGGTGTGAACATATAGGCTAATATTGAATTTTCAACACTCCCCCTCAATGTTAGCCTCCATTCTTTCAATCACGCCATGCTGACGACGGAAATGTTCAAACTTTCCAACACTCAAGCTTTTTGTAAACAAGTCAGCAATTTGCTCATCTGTCTTGATTTGCCTCATCTCAATCTCTTCTTGCAAAACTTTTTCCCTAACAAAGTGGTAATGTACTTCCACATGTTTAGTTCTTGCATGAAAGACAGGATTCTCCGCCAGCCGAATTGCCGATTGGTTGTCACAATACAACGGAATTGCATAATCTACTGGTTGATGTAGATTATTCATCAACTGTATCAACCATGTACTCTCTTGAGCTGCCATTGCTGCTGCTCGATACTCAGCTTCAGTGGTTGACAATGATACCGTTGGTTGTCTTTTGCTACACCAAGAAATTGTTCCGGAGCCAAGCTTAAACACATACCCAGTTGTTGATCTCCTGGTGTCATGATCTCCTGCATAATCAGCATCACAATAACCAACTAACTTGCAGTCTTCACCTTTCTTGTACAAAAGACCATAGTCAATTGTATTCTTCACATATCTCAGTATTCGTCGAACTGCTTCCAAATGAGGCTTCTTTGGATTTTGCATATACCGACTCATCACACCAACTGCATAAGAAATGTCAGGTCGGGTCAAGGTTAAGTAGATCAGACTACCTACCAATTGTCGATACATTGTTGCATCTTCCAAATCTTTTCCTTCATGTGCACACATTTTGATATTTGGTTCCATTGGCGTTGAAGTTGACTTACATTCGAGCATTCCAAACCTCTTCAGCAAATCTTTAGCATATTTCTGTTGACATAGAAATATTCCTTCGTGTGTACGATCAACCTCTAGACCAAGGAAGTGCTTAAGTTGTCCAAGTTCCTTCATCTGGAAACGAACTGATAAATTCTCCTTCGTCTGAAGAATTTCTGCCTCATCATCACCGGTTATGATTAAGTCATCCACGTACACTAGCACGATAGCTAGCTTACCTTCATTGGCTTTGACAAACAAGCTAGAATCTGCAGGTGTTACTGAATAACCACTTTTCGTTAGAAATTCAGCAATCTTACCATACCACGCCCTAGGTGCTTGTTTTAATCCGTAGAGTGCTTTTCGCAGCTTACACACATATTCAGGATGATCTTGACTCTGAAAACCCATTGGTTGGGTCATGTAGATCTCTCGATCTAGCTCTCCATGAAGAAAAGCATTCTTTACATCCATCTGCCACAAGTTCCAGTCTTTGTTGGCTGCAAGTGCAAGTAAGACTCGTACGGTTGTAAGTTTCGCCACTGGACTAAATGTTTCATCATAGTCTAATCCATACTGTTGAGAGAAACCACGAGCTACCAATCGCGCTTTGTACCTCTCGATTGACCCATCTGGACGGCGCTTTATCTTGTAAACCCATTTGCAAGATATGGGTTTCACATCTTTTATCTTTGGTACAATATCCCAAGTTTGATTTTGCTGAAGTGCATCGATCTCTTCTTTCATAGCTGTCATCCACTCAGAACTCTTCGATGCTTCTTCGAACGTCTCAGGCTCCGTTGCTTCTTCAATTATGGCTGCATTGGCATATTTGGGATTTGGCCTTCGTATTCTTGTTGACCTTCGAAGTTGAGATTGTGGAATTGATTCTTCTGTTTCACTAGGCCCACCTTCTTCGTTTGGTTGTTGATACACGCCAGTTTGCCACGGATTCTGAGTCACTCTTTGTTCGACATCATCGCCATTTGGATCTTCTGATTCATCTGAACTTGTTTGAAGTTGAACATCATGCTCCCCCATCTTTTGTTGTAGTTTGTCTCCAAATTCTCTCGAATCTGGCAACACCTCCTTCTCTAAGGACCACCAAGAAGATGCTTCATCAAATACCACATTTCGTGACGTGTAGCATCTTCCACTAATTGGATCACAACATTTCCACCCCTTTCTATGGCTGTCATATCCCACAAAGATACATCTAACAGCTTTCTTGTCAAATTTGCTCCGTAAATGATCAGGAACAAACACATAACATACACAGCCAAATACTCGAAAGTAGCTAACTGTAGGTTTTATGTTCCATAGTTTCTCAAAGGGTGAAACAAATCCTAACCTTGGTTGAGGAAGTCTATTGATCACAAAGGCTGCAGTCCTCATTGCTTCAGCCCAAAACCTTCCAGATACGTTCTTTGCATGTAGCATACTTCGACAAATTTCTGCAAGATGCCGGTTTTTTCTTTCCGCTACACCATTCTGTTGTGGTGTGTTGGCACAAGTGTACTGATGACGTATTCGGCATTCCCTTAGGTATTGAGAGAACTCGTTTGATCTATATTCTCCTCCGTTGTCTGTGCGCAAGCAGCATATCTTCTTTCCCACTTCTCCTTCAGCTGAGTCTCTGAACTCTTTAAACTTTGAGAAAGTATCAGATTTTTCTTTCATAAAGAAAACCCACACATACCTGGAGAAGTCATCAATGAATGTTACCATGTACCGCATACCGCTAATTGACAGTTGCTTAACCGGTCCGAACACATCAGAGTGAACCAACTCCAAAGGTTCTTTTGCTTTAAACTTCGACTCGTCATATGGTAATTGGTGTGCTTTACCATACTGGCATCCCGCACAGACCGTGTCTGTTCTCACGTCTAGTTGAGGAAGCCCCTTAAGCATCGACTTTTTCACCATCACACTTAGCTTGGAATAGCTAACGTGACCTAACCGCATGTGCCATAGATCTGATGTCTCATTTTTCCTTGTCCTGTCTACATATGCAGACTCTGCTGACATCACGTAAATTGATTCCAAACGTCGTCCCTCCATTGTTGGTGTTTCTGTGATTTTGACGTCACGATAAACCTTCACGTCTTGGGGACCAAATAAGACATAATGGCCTGATGATGTTAGTTGAGCCACAGATAGCAAATTTTTCTTCATTCCTGGGACATGGTAAACATCTTGGAGTTGCACCTGGTTAGTATTATATCGAGGAGTAACTATTGTCTTACCGATGTGAGTTATCGGTAACCTTGAGTTGTCAGCTGTCACCACCACACGACCTCCATTGTACTCAGACAGGTTTTGCAACTTCTGTTTGTCACCCGTCATATGATTTGAGCAGCCAGAATCTACGATCCAATCATTCTTGTAGTCAATCCGTTCTGGTGTTGTTACTGTGAGAGCTAATTCTTCTTCCTCCGTAGCAAATAACGCTTCAGCATCCCAACCATCTTCACTATTCTCCTTCGAACAAGAAGTAGCAGTATTACTTTCAACAGGCTTTTTCTTGGTCCAACAGTCTTTTGCCATGTGGCCCATCTTCCCACAATTGTAACACTTGCCATCGAACTTTCTACTATTACCGCGATTCTTGGAAGCTCCCCCTGAATGAGGGCCTCCCTTTCCTTGGTAATTTTTCACCTTGTCACCATCCTTTTTAGATCCATTGCCAGTATACCGCTGAAAAGTGCCTCTGCTTTTGCTGGTGTAGAGCGCTTCCTCTTCACCCTTCAACGAGACTCCTCCCATTTGCTTGGCCATGGCTTCTTGACCTGCAAGCAAATTTTCGAACTCAACAAGCGATGGTTGTGTCGGCCATCCCTGTACAGCGGCAACAAACCCTCGATATTCGGGTCTCAAACCATGGACAATTATTCTTTTTATCCTGGCTTCCCCAATAGCAGCTGTCGGATCTAATTCTGAAATTTCACGGCATATCGACTTCACCTTGTGAAAGTATTGGGCAACCGCCATGTCGCGTTGCGCCATTGATAGAAGTTCATTCTCGAGAAGTTGCAATTTTGTATCGTTCCTCTTCGAAAAGAGTGTAACAAAAGTGTCCCATGCTTCCTTTGGTGTTTTAGCATCCCGGATGTGCTCCAACATTTCTTCTTCAATTGTGGTCTTTAAAGCAAACATTGCTTTGCCTGCTTTAATTTTCCACTTTCGCAAGATTCCATTGGCATCTTCTGTCGCCGGTTGTGTAACTTCACCACCACCGACAACCTCCCAAAGGTCTTGACCTTGTAAGTATGACTCCATACATGTTGCCCACGTGTTGTAGTTTTTGTTGTTGAGCTTCTTGATTCCTCCAACTACTTGAAGATCACCCATCTTAACGGCAAGGCTTTGACTACACCGAACAAGCTTGAGTAACAAACGTGCAGAGTACTAAATTACTCTAAACACAAAGAAGCTCCACAAGGTTTGTAATAACCTCGACAATAACTCAAGAAATATTTTCTGATGTGGAAGATCAGTTAAAAACTGCAGCCACAGAGCATACTCAGAATTTCAAGAGATCTTAAAAAACGTGGCTCTGATACCAATTGTTGAATCAAAATAGAGTAAAAACTCTAATTGATAAAAAAAAAAACTCTCTTTAGAATAATCTCACAAAATTGCAAAAGGGAAGAACTCTTAAGAAAGCTTTCAAATGCTTATAATTAAGCTTTGATTGTTGGATGATAAAACTCAAATACAAGTAGGGTATTTATAGGTTACAAGAAACAATCTAAACCACTCATTAAAATAAACACTAAATAATCTAAACCATTGAAATTAAAACATGAGAAAAATACTTAATTTTCACCTAACTAAATTGATGTAAGCAATGACATCAAAACTAAATTGATGTAAGCAATGACATCAAATTAATTTAGGTGTGAACATATAGGCTAATATTGAATTTTCAACAGAGGTAAGTATCAAACAACATATGATGTTAATCTGTTATTTATTGCATGAATGTCAAACAAGATGATGTACCCTAAAGCATGAATTCTCAAAGAGTCATTTAATAATTCTATCTGAAGCTGGAGCTTCTGGAATATGCTAATGAATCTAACATACAGATGATGAGTCGCATATTCATGTTATGAAGTTGCTACTAATAGTTAGATCCAATCTGTTTACGTATTCATTCCGTTGATGTTACAACTTATACTAAGGCCACTAACTTGCTCTTTTTTTAGTACGAAACCAAGTACTATTACAAGATTGGTGAAGGTGATTCATCTCGAGAATTTTGGTTTCAAACACCTCCAAAGATCGACCCAGATTCTCCTTTTACATTTGGAATTATTGCTAATATGTCATTAAAATATTAATCTACATAGTCATGAATAATCTTGTTTTTTAAAGTTCAAATAGAAATTTGATTTTTCATTTGTATTTTCTAGATGGTTTGCTTTGAGACGCCTGAAATAAAATAAACAATCTGCAAAAACAAATTACTTCCTGAGTTGGTTTAGTATATTATAGGTGATTTGAGTCAAACATATAATTAATTCTCTTTCAACTCTGAATCATTACATGCAAAGTGGAGGACAGACTGTCTTATTTCTTGGCGACCTCTCTTATGCTGATAGATAACAATTCAATGATGTTGGTATTAGTTGGGATTCATGGGGTCGTTTTATTGAGAGAAGTGATGCATATCAACCATGAATATGGTCAGCTGGGAATCATGAGATAGAATACATGCCAGATGCAGTAATGCTTCAATTCTACATCTTGAATCTCTTATATATACACATTTATTTTCCCTTTTATTATAACGCTTATTTTATATTAAGCTACACGACTGTTTGTGGCATTAATACCATTAAGGTATTGCGACTTAAGATCTTCATTCTGCCCTTTCCTGATTTTTGAGATATAATAACTGGTTTCTTTACCACTACATCCCGTGCATTTATCTGAGAATAAAGATACAAGAAATGCTTTTGAAGTATGGAACTCATTTCTTTCTTAATAATATTTCCTAGATTCCCCCCCTTTTTGGTAAGCAAGCTGCATAGAGAAGTATCTAGATCATAGCTTATCTTCTTTTTTGTTCTTTTCTCACACATGCTTTTCTTCTTCGTTTTTTGGTTTCTTTGTGTGTAGGGAGAAGTTAATCCATTTAAATCACGCCTACATAGGTTTAGTACACCTCATTTGGCATCCAGAAGTAATAATCCTCTCTGGTATGCAATCCAACAGGCCTCAGTTCATATTATTGTCCTATCCAGCTATTCCCCCATGGTAAGAAATCCTCAACTTCTGAAATGTTGATGTTACGCGTCAATGTTGTTTATTCAGTGTTCTGTTGATATTTGCTATAATATTAAAGCATCTCAAGTAAATCTAAGTTTTTACCCTTTTTTTTATTGGACAAGTGAAATATACACCTCAATACGAGATGAGCTAAAAAGAGTCAATAGAAAGAAGACACCCTGGCTTATTATTCTCATGCATGTCCCCATCTACAATAGCAACCGAGCTCACTTTATAGAGGGTGAAAGTATGTGAGCTGTCTTTGAGCGCTGGTTTGTTCGTCGTAGAGTAGATTTCATCTTTGCAGGTCATGTCCAAGATCAGTATGTACTTTCTTACCTTTTCATGTTGCTTTTGCCCAATGGGGGTAAGGATTAGAGTTAGATCATGAAACTGTTAACATCAGTAGTTTACAAGCGACTAATACAAATAATATATTTCATAAACAGAGGCAGCCCCAGTCCCTCTCGGAACTTCTTTCTCTGATCTTATGCTCTTGGTCAAAGAAGGAAAAGTGAAACATAAAATACAAGATAGTTGGTCAGAATATTTACCATAACCAAACCCAAGAATGAATAGTTTGTAAATTTAACCATCCAGTGTAATCTATAATTACTGAAGAATCAACCCATGTCCTCCTAAAAGGTGCAGTATCCAATCAACCCTTCCGAAAAATGCTTCTTGTCTTTAGAAAAGGTGGCGATTACCTCATTTCTCTTCCTAATATCTAATTTGACATCCCCGAGACACTGCTTTTGGGTTGTGTCCTTTCAATTGTACATCTGCATGAAACATTATTTGGGTGAAAATGTCAATTATATTTTAGAACTGATTTTATCAATTTGCAGTATCGTATCTCAAATATCTGCTATAATGTATCAAGTGGCAACCAGTATCCTGTGCCTAACAAATCAGCTCCAGCGTACACAACAGTCGGAGACGGAGGAAATCAGGAAGGTCTTGCTGGATGGTGAACAAACATAAATCTTGGAATATTATTGTTGTCTGAAAATATCATTTGAAAGTATCAAGTTGTAACCCCCTGTTAAAGTGCCCTTACTGATCCATGTATTCGTAATTCGCCATTAGGTTTCGGGATCCACAACCTGAACATTCTGCATTCCGTGAAGCCAGTTATGGTCATTCGATATTGGAGTTGAAGAACCGAACCCATGCGTTCTTGAACTGACAACGAAATGACGATTTGTGTCCTGTGGAAACATTAGTGTCCATAAGTCTGTGTTTAGTCACCTTAGTTGTTTCTTTGTTTGGCTGGCACGTCATGAGTAACGGACTATTACGTCCGTATATTTATCCTGCCATGATCACCCTTAATTTTTGCTCCAGTTTTAATCAAACTGGGTTTTGATATAGGGCAAGCAATCTACGGAGGAGATCCATGCTTGGCATATAGATTTCAAGCAGAGAGATTGAGTGGAAAAAATAATTAATCGAATATCTTCATATTAATAAGTAAAGAATTTGTATGTATGTATATATATATATATATATATATATATATTAAAAATCTCATTATAACGTACCTATTTACTTGATTTTAACCTTATAATAATCACGCTAAACTTGGATTTTTATATAATTAATATCATTTGAAAGATTAATTATGAAATTGTCACTTTTATCTTCATTATTTATCAAGATAGTACCTATTTGCTTAACTGATGTGTGTTTAAAACCCCAAAACTCGGTTATGTTATGGAGTAGTACTTTGTCCAATGCATTATTTGCTGTTTTTTTTGGCTTTTCTTAGTGTTATTCAAGAAATATGAGAAGTTTTTGGATCTGGTTTCCCCTTTTTATGACCATTTTCGAAAACCTACCAACTCATTTTCTATTTTATTTACTAATAAATTGATTGACTGTTGGTTTCTAACTCTTCACATTAAAACACTTAAAAGTGATCTTCATGAATGTACATTACCCCCCGTCTCTAAATAAAATATATTTTTCAATCTATAATTTATAAAATTAAGTAAAATAGATTTAATTTTAGTTTGAGTATTTCTATTCTTTAATTAAAAAGGGTAAATTACATATTCAGTACTTAAACTATTAGTTTTGGTTCGTTTAAGTACTTAAACTTTTAGTTTTTTTTCAAAATCATATTTAACATTTAGTTTTTGTTTCATTTTAGTACCTACTATTAAGAACTTAACGTGTTTAGTGTCTAAACTATAAGTTTTGGACATTTTTTAATACTTAAACTTTCAAAACAAATCACACTTAATGTTAAATTTTGAATAGGGATATTAAAATAAAACAAAAACTGAACTTTAGGTATGATTTTGAAGTAATTAAAAATTTAGATATTAAAATGAATCAAAATTTATTGTTTAGATACTAAATGAGTAATTTATCCTTTAAAAAATATTAACCATTTAAGTATTTTCAATCTTATGTCTTCATGTACATTCTATTTTCAATATGCCAACCAAATTTTTTTTAATAAATTAATATGATTATAAGATTGTATATATTTCGAATCTTTTTTAATCATTCACAACATATATCTATACACGTAGTAAATTAAATTCAAGACCTTTAAAAACAATAATATTCCTTTTAATTTCTAAAATCCGTTGATAGATTGAATACGTCAACAGCCAAGTGAACTCGCTTTATATGATCACTTTGATAGCAAGAATTAATGATTTTTTAACTATGATATTAATTTTTCCAGTAAAGCGGAGGGACTAAAAACATAATTAGACTAATAAAACGATGAATCATCAACATGCGACACGTGTTGGACTCTCTAACCAAGAAATGGGCACTCCGTCATCCTCGTAATTAAATTCACGAGAAAGAAAAAGACCACCAAACGAAGCATAACCGTCTCATCAGGTTTAATAGATTCACTCTTTTCTCATCGTTTTTTGTAGCACGCAAAAAAGAAAAAAATGATAATTTTCTTCCCATAAATACATTTTGCTTAAAAACTTTGAATTATTTATACTAATTATATTTAGTTTTAATTTTTTTATTTTTATATATAAATATATTTCAAATATTTGCTACACCACCATATTTTCTATAAATTCAGTTCCTTGGTTTTTATTCATTTTTTGTTTTTCTGGATTTTTTTCCTGTCAAAGAATGGCGGGAAACGATTGGATAAACAGTTACCTGGAAGCGATCCTGGACGTTGGTCCAGGAATCGACGAAGCGAAATCGTCATTGTTGCTGAGGGAAAGAGGTCATTTCAGTCCAACTCGATACTTCGTGGAAGAGGTCATCACTGGCTACGACGAATCCGATCTCCACCGTTCTTGGATTCGAGTACAATTTTCATTTCACTCTCTTTTATGATGATCTTGCTCTTTCTCTCCTTTATTAACACAATAGTACTCTTTTATCCTTCCGGTCTCTATGTTCTTTTTTTCGTTTAATCTGAATTATGGAGTCTTTGAACTGTTAATACAAGTGTAATTGGTTTTTTTCCGGTTAGGCGGCCGCCACGAGGGGTCCTAAGGAGAGAAACACGAGACTGGAGAATATGTGCTGGAGGATTTGGAATTTGGCTCGAAAGAAGAAGCAGGTTTTCTTCTTTTTTTAGTGCTATTTTGGTTTGCATATTGCATCGAACATAATTAGAATTAAATAGATAAATTGTTTTAAGCTTTTGCTTCTAGTAAATCTAGAGAAAAACGCTTACTTTTACTGTGGTGGATTTGGTGTTAAGTGATTAGCAGAATAGAAGTGAGAGTTGATTTTCTTTTATTTCTTATTTGTGGAGTTTACAACTTCTTTTTCAGTTAACGGTGATGGCCTTCACAAGAAAACTGTAGCTGATTGTCTATTAGCCTTAGGATAATGCAAAATTTTGTTTGTTTGTTTTTCATTTGCCTCGATGTTTTTTGGTTATATCAACTTGCTTGCGTAGTCAGCATGTATTACCATTTCGCTTCCTGGATTTAGGCTATGAATTAAAATTTAACCATTTTGTGAACTACGCAGATTGAATAATTCATTTCAGTCAACATGTTATCTTCAGGTCACGGGAACAATTGTATTGATTCTAAATTTTAGCTGCTTTATCCTTGATGATTTGATTTGTAATGAACTGTTTATAGTGTACCATTATGTTCACTCGAATGTTAATTTGTTACTTTCAACTTTTTTCGCTTCACTTTTGTTAGTTTTTTTCCTATTTGGTTGCTTAATAGCTTGAGGTGGAGGAAGCTCAACAAAATGCTAAGCGTCACCTTGAACGTGAAAGAGGCCGCAAAGAGGCAACTGATGATATGTCTGAAGACCTTTCAGAAGGAGAGAAAGGAGAATTTCCCGGTGATGTTTCATCTCATGGTGATAGCGTCCAAGGAAGAATGCGTAGAATTGTTTCTGTTGATTTGATGGAGAACTTGACTAATCAGCTCAAAGAAAAGAAGCTTTATCTTGTGTTGATAAGGCATGACCTGCACTTCTATATTAGTTGACATGTTACAGCTGTTGTTCAGTGATTCATATTTTCAATGAGCTCTTTATATGTTATAGTGACACAATTTAGATCGTACTTTCTAACCTGTGGTCTGGTCTCCCTGCAGTCTTCATGGCTTGATAAGGGGTGAAAACATGGAGCTTGGTCGTGACTCTGACACAGGTGGTCAGGTAATTTTTTCCACATTTTTTAACTCAAGTGTGTTATGCTCTTATCTGCTTCAGAATATGGTCAATCACCCTATTGCACGTTGGGAATTTTGATGTTGTGCTGTACACAGGTTAAGTATGTAGTAGAACTTGCTAGGGCCTTGGGCACAATGCCAGGAGTTTATCGGGTTGACTTGCTGACAAGACAAGTTTCAGCTCCAGATGTGGATTGGAGTTATGCTGAACCAACAGAGATGCTTACTCCAAGAACTACAGAGAACTCGATGCAGGAGCTTGGTGAGAGCAGTGGTGCTTATATTATTCGTATACCCTTCGGTCCCAAAGATAATTATATGCCCAAAGAACTTCTTTGGCCTCATATTCCTGAGTTTGTTGATTGTGCACTTAGTCACATTCAACAGATGTCCAAAGTTCTAGGTGAGCAAATTGGTGGTGGGAAACCAGTCTGGCCTGTTGCTATTCATGGACATTATGCAGATGCTGGTGATTCTGCTGCTCTTCTATCTGGAGCTCTAAATGTGCCAATGCTTTTTACTGGCCACTCACTTGGTATGGATAAGCTAGAACAGATCTTAAAACAGGGTCGACAGTCTAGAGAAGAAATAAACACAACTTACAAAATCATGCGGCGGATAGAGGCTGAGGAGTTATCTCTTGATGCATCTGAAATTGTTATAACTAGTACTAGACAGGAGATAGAAGAGCAGTGGCGCCTTTATGACGGCTTTGATCCAGTATTGGAGCGCAAACTTAGAGCAAGGATCAAAAGAGGTGTGAACTGCCATGGGAGGTTTATGCCTCGTATGGTTGTAAGTATCAAGACACCATTTTTTATTTTTTATTGTTGCTTATAATACTACTTCACACATGAGGTATTTTATTGGTATTTGCATTGTTCTTTCTCTTCTTTGCTTTATTTCCGTGTATCTTATGCTGCTGAAATCATATCTAGGTAATTCCTCCTGGGATGGAGTTTCATCACATTGTTCCTCATGATGGAGACATGGATGGGGATATGGAAAGAAATGAAGAAAATCCTACTCCTGACCCTCCTATTTGGTCTGAGGTTATAACTATATTCGTTTATTCAAACGTCTCCTTGATAAAAACTTTACTACTGCCCATCACTGACCTTTCTTTGCTTGTTATACTCTAATAATGTTTTACTAACAGATTATTGTTGGAGCAGTAATTTGATGAATATAATGTATGCAGGTAATGCGTTTTTTTACGAACCCTCGCAAACCGATGATTCTTGCCCTTGCTCGACCAGACCCTAAGAAGAATATTACAACCTTAGTCAAAGCTTTTGGAGAGTGCCGACCTTTAAGGGAGTTTGCTAATCTTGTACGTACTTGAATTTGAACTGAACTTGATGAGGCTTCCAGTCTAGTTTTCTTAATTTTATCCCAATTTTCTCACTTCTGTGGCTGGTGCAGACGTTAATAATGGGAAACCGTGATAATATTGATGAAATGTCTGGCACCAATGCAACTGTGCTTCTCTCGATTCTTAAACTGATTGACAAGTATGATTTGTATGGCCAAGTGGCATATCCTAAGCACCACAAGCAGTATGAAGTTCCTGATATATACGGTCTAGCAGCAAAAACAAAGGTACACCACGTGAACTAGTTTTACAATTAAGAGGCTATAGTCTCCTTTCTTTTTTTTATTTAACCATTTGTATC